TTTTTTTTTCTAACAAGGAACATTAAATCTTCAATTTTCATGAACCATTAGTTGGCTATTACCAAAGTTTTCCCAATGAAATAGACTAGCCACTGCCCAGTAGTTTCCTTTAAGTTTTATTTTGATACGTAAAATTGATGTTACTAGGCCATATAAGTATTGATCTGTTTGTGTCAAAAATTGGGGAAAAGCGTTAACCGCCATCAATAAAAGAGGAGCATGAAGATCCAAAAGTGCCACCCCTATTCCCAGCCTTCGATGTATAAACAGGATTCAGCTGAAATTTTCACATCATATGCATTCGCCACTGCAGACATGTTAGGAAAACTGATGTCGTCCACACGAAGGCAGGACACATTAGAGAGACTATAACTGCACAAGGACAGGAATCTTAATGGTGCCCAAATTACTATATTATCACATATAGTAGGATCATTTTGTAACAATTGAAATTCCAAATAGAACATACACAGTTTACTGCCAGGACAATCAAATAAAATGGTGCTGCTTTGTGTGTGTGAATGAATGAGATGATCACTGTCATGTCACACTACTTCACTATGCATTCGATTTGATACATATATAAACTATGCATGTGATGAATATTACAATAATAACAGTATTATAGCATGATATCACTCTCAACACCCGAGTTATACTAGTGATGAGAAACTAAGCAGCTAATCGTCCAGTTATGTTCGCACAAAGCCACAAACAAATTTAACATAGTATAGAGTTGTTGGATCAATTGTTACCAGTGGCAGCACAATTGAAAAGAAAGATGGGAGTCAGTTAATTACCTGATATGTTCTGATAGATCGCTAGCAGGAATTAGCAATTCAGCAACACTGACATTGTAATCTGGCACAAAGACTACCTACAAGAGATAAAGGAGAGGACTCTTCAGGTTAAAAGTGCAAAAAGTAATCACATGATGAAACAGATGCAGAAATATCACAGATAAAAAAAACAAGAAAAACAAAGTGACCTCTTACTGCTAGAAAAGAATAGCTTGTATCAAAATCAAAGAAAAAAACTTTCAAGAGAAATAATCATGTTAATACCTTCAACAGATCACCGATTTCTGGATCATGATTTATAGTAGCACCAACATCTGTGATAAATTTTACAATCCTCTTGGCTTGCACATATGTGGCAAAAGCTTTTCCCCCAAATATGCATACTCGAGGAACGAAGTTAGTCTTTCTTTCTGCAGCTGTCATTTCTTTCATCTTCTTATACCGATAAACGATGCCGAAGATATTTAACAGTTGTCGCTTGTACTCATGAATGCGTTTTACCTGAGAATTGGTTTTTTAATTGACAAGTGCATGATACTTCGTCCAAGAACAAGAGTGATTCATATAACTAAGATAAAGCTAATTAATCTCATGGCCAGAACTGAAAAACGGAGAATAACACACCTGAATATCAAACATTGCATCTGGGACAACAGAATACCCTGTCTTTTCTTTGAGAAAGGAGACAACTTTAATCTTGTTGCTCCTTTTTGCTTCCCTCCACTCATTTTGAAGATCTTCATTATCAGCAAACTGTGTGTGGTACCCATAGTTCAGATAGAACATAAGTCTAACCTTTTTGGGAAAATACACTCAGTTCGAAATTGGAACTGCTTTGTAAATAGCGATGATGAGTATACGTAATATTTTTTAACTTCACTATCAAATGGACAAAAGTGCAGGTTCAAGGTGTGATTTAGCTTCTATTCTTCAGTTGTTCTCCCGAAATTATGTAATTTAAAACCCCCAATTATAATTTAGTTTAACTTTAGTTATTGCACTTGTGCAAATCTTGATATTTGTTGTGGACAGCTTTGACCAGAATTTTGAAATCAATTGAAATAGGAGGGTAAACTGCGACCTATGCACGGGTTTAGGGATGCCTAACACCTGTTCTTTAAACAAAGGAATTTCCTTGCCTAATTTCTATTTTTCACAACCATTTGGAGTAAAAAACTTCAAATGGGTTTCTTTCAAAATCAACTTCAAGTTTTGAAAAGAATTTCAAGGGATTGGTCAAGTGACTTGCACACTTAACAATACGATCTGTTTCCTTAGGTGGTGACTCCAAATTTTCAAATCCCTTTGGATTTAATCTTCGCGAACACAGCCTTCACATGTTTTTTGAAAATCAAAAACACTACGTGTCATAAATTTGGTGAATCTTTGGAAGGTGCCACAGAGAATGCATTTTCAACCATCTAACAATAAACAACAAAATTTCCACCTCATATTCTTAAACATGCCAAGTCAGAAAAGGCAAATGAAATACCTTCTGCAATTCTGCCAACTTTTCAGTTTTCAGGACCCAATCCTCTGTACCAGTCCACTTAGTTATGATGGCACTAAGAGGAGGATTGCAGAAACGAATCCATCTTCTTGGAGTCACTCCATTTGTTTTGTTTTGGAACTTTTCCGGCCAGAGCTGTAAATGTTAAGTGTAAGATAATACATGAATTAAAACTCAGTTTGACAAAAATCACTGATCTGATACATATCAAAAGATTCATACTAATGATGCTTACCTCATAGAAGTCATTGAAAACCTCCTCCTTCACAATTTCACTATGGATCTCAGCAACTCCATTAACAGCATGGCCGCCCACAACACACAAGTTGGCCATGCGTACCTTCTTAGGTGGTATAACAGCTGGTTCCGGACTCACGGGAGTTTTCTTGTCAATGTCTTTTTCTGCAGCTGCTTCTATCTTCACACTAGTTTTCTTACCAGTGTCATCTTCATCATTAGTCACAACTTTATCGGAAGCTTCAACTTTGTCATGGACTTCTACTGTTTCAGTATCATCATCAACTGAGATTTCAGGCTTAATAAATAATTCAGCAACAGAACTGGGAAGATCAAAATTTTCTAAGATTCTCATTGTAGTCAACTTTTCCTCCAATTTGTTCAGATCCATTGAACCATATTTTAATACAATTTCATGTACCAGCTGTTAGGATAGCACACTGCAGAAATTAGTCAAAATAGTTTAACTTGCATAACCAAATAAATTTGTTAAATTTGTAGCTCCATCACCTCCTCGTCAATCGCCTCAATGATTTCGACATGTCTGGGAAGCAGTTTCTGCATCAATTCATAACTCCATTTCTCCAGTGCCTCAGGCAAAACAGTATGGTTTGTGTAGGCCACAGTTCTGGTAAGTTTCCAGCATTAAGGATTTCAGTGTTTCTAATAAGAAAATAAAATTGGAGGTATTGTTTTATGTTTAAAAGTAAAAGTGTGTTATCTCCTGTCATTTTGATGTTCGGAGACCAATTCAGATGATGTGGAACTTAAAGTTTAGTAATAAGATCTCATACTATAGTATCACTTGCGTCATGTATTTAAACAGATTCAGATGATGCTTCCGTACAGTATATTCAGCACAAACTTCAATTTCCCACATGCAAAGCTTGTAACTTTCAGTACCTTTGAGTAATATTCCAAGCTTCATTCCAATTCAAGCCCTTCAGATCTATCAATATTCTCATCAGCTCAGGGATACAAAGTGTAGGGTGAGTGTCATTCATCTGCACAGCAACTTTTTCAGGAAACTCTTCCCACTTAATACGATCACCTGATCTCCTCTCAAATCGAGAAATAATATCTTGGAGAGAAGCCGAGCATAAGGTATATTGTTGCTTCAACCGAAGGATCTTTCCCTCCTCTGATTCATCCCCAGGGTAGAGTATGTAACATATCTGATGTTAGAGAAGAACTAGCTTAGACCAGTGTTTTTGAGAGCGAGAAGCGCTAAAAAGCGACAAGGACCCGCTTTGCTTAAAGCAGAAGTGAAACACAGTTCTAAAAGAGTACCAAAATAAACCTCGCACAAATAAGTAAAATAACTAAATAAAAAAGAGCTCAACAAAAATGACACATACGCAAATCTTTCAATTTAAAAACTAAAAAGTAGACAGCCAAAAATCCTCCATTGGGCATGCAAAATAAAAACCAAAACATAAATGGATCAACATCCGATTCTTCTTAAAGATTGTCAAAACCTCTTTTATCAAGATCATTATATTGCTCATCATCTTCTCTTTCACTATAACCTCAAAAGGCGACGTACCTATGTGCCGCTGCAGTCCATCACTTAAAGCGTATAAGAGATCCCTTCTAATAACACTGGCTTAGCCATCTAAACTAATGCTATGCTAAGTATGTTACTATGTCCCTAATGTATATGAAGAGACAGAAAAGAAGAGTAGGTTAAAATGTGCCTAGGACAGTAGGAATATGACTATGAAATCTGTAATGGAGTTAGTTAATCTAGGAGATGGAACTCGAAGAAGATGATTGCCGATTCAGGGTTATAACCGAGAATTGAGGCTTAATTGAATGTAGAAGAGGGAGAATCAGATACTATTTCATGAATGAATCCAATTACACATAATGGCTATATTTATAGAAATGAAACTAGGAACTGAAATCTGGAAATCTAACTGCTACAGTCTAACAACTTCAACTACTTCTAACTAATTCCCACGTCACCTAACTAACTTGCCAACTCAGCTAGTTCACAGTTAAACTTGTATCACTGACATTTTCAACAAAAAGAGTATTATCAAAACAAACTTGAAAGGGAAAAAGAAAAGAAGAGTAGGTTAATATATGCCTATAGGAACATGGATATCAGGTCTCTTGACATTTTCTACAAAAACTTAGTCATCAGTCTCTTGCCCCTCATTAAAAAAAAA